CCGTCACCGCCACCGCCACCGCCACCGCCACCGCCCCCGCCCCCGCCGCCGCCGCTAGCGGCGCCACCACCAACGAACGGGGAGAGGATGACGAAACAACGACGATGACAATAATGGCAGCTACAAAAACAACGACGACTATGGCAGCCACAGCTACAACCACATCCAAAGCAGCAGCAACAAAAGCAACAGCCACAATCGCAACCACATCCATCAGCGACAGTAGTAGCAAAAGCAACAACCAGAACAAGATCAACATAGGATGGAGGAGCCACTTCATATCTTTGACACCTTGCGTGGCTCCATCCCAGTGTTCCTTGCATGGGAACAAGTGGGTCGAGGTTCTGAGCTCTGTGCCTCATGCGCGCGGGCCACACGCAAGACCTGACAGCAAAGTGGCCGTCTGCAGAGTCAAGTGTGCTCTCCAAAGAACCTGCAGTTCGATAAAGCGTGCACTTGAGTGTGTAAAGCAATCGCGCGTGAGATGTGCTGCTAACTTTCCCTAGGGCTCACCCGCCTCATGATCACGGTGGCGGCCGTTCTTTTGAATCACACATTCCTGGACAAGAACTAATCTCGCATGTTACTTGAATCCAAGCGTGCGCCACCATGTCAAGACTCACAACAACTGACAAGAATAGAGACAAAGCAACAGTACATGACAGTATGCAGCCGAAAAACTGCGCAGATGCAAGGGCATTCGCAAGTCGCGCCTAAGTCAGGAATGTCCGATCACATCTTAAAGAACTTCGGTATGGATCCAACTGCGTGACAGCTAAACACTGAATGCCCACCACTAGTGACACTATAGTGGGCCCTGACAGAAGTATGTGGCTGGCTCTTCAGGATGCTCGGGACACCTGCCAAGATCATGGAGGCATACGTGATCGTGTCCCTTCGAAAATCTTCGGGGCCAACTGATATGCCTCACATAAAACAAGGATTCTGTATCTAAGCGCCTTCCAGGAAGAGACCTCTAGCTTTCGAAGGCGTTCAAATCACAGAGCTGCGCCTGTAGATGTGAACTGTCCGTCCTGATGGACGGCTGGGCTCCTCCACGGCCACAGGCTCCCTGAGCACCACTAAAACGCACACTAATTACAGGTATGACTAGTAGCATTGCGCGTAGTATCACCTTACACTGACAACTACGGTTCGACTTCGAATCCAACTGGATTCGAACGTCGACTTGACTTGTTGGAGGGCGCTAAATCCATCCAGATCGAACACGGCGGAAGCGTTGTAATACTTCATCATGTCGTAATACTGCCGCAATCAAGCCTCAGCCTGAGGCTAGCGTTCAGAACAAAAAATGAAGGCTATAATTCCGCTTTCCTGAACCTCCTGTCCGCGGCATATAACTGGCTCGACTACCTACAGATGGGCTGATTCGCCTGTTCACAAGAGGTCTTACATGACCGGGTCTAAACCGGGCTGTTTGGAACCATACTGCTAATAATCACGTTGTGCTTGCAGGCCTCTCGTGCAGACTTGGGGCCAGGCGGTGTTCTTTGCCACTGGACAGGGCTGACTGAGGGTGTTGATGACACCTGAACAGGCCAAGCTGCCCCAAATGATACAAGCGCAAACAAAGCCCTTCTGATCGAAAGCATACGGTTGAAATTCAACACACAATAGTCGTGATTCAACGCTTTAGCTGCTGGTGGCCTGCTCGCGGGCCACTACGCATCCTTGATATTTTGGTGAAGCCCACGTTTGAAAGCGCCGGAACTGTGGCACTTGCCCACTGTCAATGTGTCACCAAGCCTTCTGACACCAAACGCGTCATGAAGCAATGTGAAGCTTACACCACGTAACTATTTGGTCAATCGTGACTTTTCATCTCTCTGGCTGGCCTGGTGTGGACGGGACGCCGCACCGGTGGCACTGGTGATGGCGACTCGCGGTACTGAGCCGTCCTGCACTTTTCAATTGTATTACATGTTCAGCGCCTCTCAGGAGGCTCGGTTGTTCAGAGTGGTTGATGAGTCACTCTGTTTTGGAAGTCTCGCTGCCGGCTCCAGACAGGTCTACAAAGTCCTAGAGCGTAAGCCGAGAATTTACGGCATGGAAGACATTGTAACAGGCCTGCAGGTGAGATCACATGCCTGCAAAAAATCTACAAACTGTCTGTCAATGCCATACAAGAAAGGCTTGTACAACATGGCTAAGAAGCCCTCCAGAAAAGGAGAAGTTCTCACCCGTCCTATTTACAGTGGACCGGGAAAGCGACTTGAATCCTGGTCACCGGTATTCAGTTGACCTGGTACAACATAAAGTACGCCTAGATAGGCTTTCGATGCTCCCATCCATGAATCGCGACATGGCATTGTGTCTGTTCGCTCTCTTTGACGACTGGAATGGTCCCGGCCTGGTTTGAATCCAAAACCCCATTTGATCGATTTCTTCTATGAGCGGAGTTGGCGCAACGGCGGTCTGTGCGGGTTTGTACACCCGCCATCGTCGATGGTTTCCCCACTCTGGGTGTGACCATCCTCCCTGATAGGCATTTTGATGCATGTTGACTCCACCAGCTCTCTGATGGCGGCGATGCCCCTGGTCACACACATCTGAGCATCAGAGCTGTAATTGTCATAGCTGCCAGAGTCGCCATCATACTCATCATGGCTTGGAGCACGATTCCAACAATATCCAGCTATCATCGAACGCGCTGTATCTGCGGCAATTGCGCGTCGCTTCCCAACTATCACAAGCGTCCCTCCGCTCTTCTATTTCCTGTGATGTGTGTCCCGGTTTTTTTTGCCATGGTCCTCGTAAGACTGGTCGTAGTCATAACCATGTCGTCATCAAAGTCGTACGACTTCCAAAAACCACAGGTTCTGGTATGGCAAGACACTATCAACTTTGCTGTACGCCAACTTCTCGCAGGAAAGTCTGACGTGAGGGCAACGCATTGTCCTTGCCATATTAGATCTCGTTTCTCACAGCAGTCATCTGGGCGGTCGTTGCGGCGTTCATCTCGACAGTCGTGTCGGCAATCCCTGCGTCGGATTTCTGACCGGTCATCCCGGCAGGTGTCTCGCTGGCCCTTGCGATGATCAGGCTTCCTTGATCGCCTCAGATGGCGTACGGGATCTCCGATCAACAGCCACATGATGAAACATGATTCCTTTCTCTACGGACCCATTCGGAGTTCGTCCCTTCAGACTTCGTAAGCCTATTCTTCGAATATGAAATGAGTCCCGCGGCGCGATGGCGCCTGCGCTAGTTGCTCCTGCAGCTGATCGACCGGTGCTGCAGTTGGCGCTGGCGCCTTGTTCGGCAGCATGGATAGCATGAGGGTGATGGCGGAGCTGCTATGGGAGTTGGCGCTGCCGGCACGTTAGCCTTTGCTGTCGGCCTTGCCACTGGCGCAGGTGGCCTGGGTGGTTGAGCTGGCGGCAGCTCAGGCAGGTGCAGATGTACACCATTAGGGCACGCAGTGGCCACAGATGCTGTTTGACCGGGCACGCCGCAACGCGGCACTTAATATATATCCTCATCTCTGCAAGTTTTGCCTTGCATTCTGCAATCGACAGATTTGATTTGGCAAAGCCGAATTGGCCGTCGGCACTTTTGCTGTCTCGGCTTTTTCTCTTTCCTGTCACGTTGGACATCGAGGCCTTTTTTGCGCGCAAGTGCTGAATGGACTCAGCTTGTGCAGAATCTATATCGTCTGCGTCCGCATCAGTGTCACATCAACTAAGAACGCATGGCCAGCCTCCAATTCCTGGTGGTTTCTTCATCCGACATATAGGCCTGCGACTCTTCCATATAATACCTCGCATCCAGAGTTGAAGTCTTCATGTCATTCATCTTGATCCCAATGTTGTGGATCCTGAAACACGCCTAAGTCGTACATCAGGGGCCAGGCCGCGCGGTTTGTCTGGGGAGTGGCCGAGACGGTCTCGCCCATCTCGCAGTCGCTGCGGAGTTTCTCCCCAACGTGAACTTGAGCGTGATGTTGTGTTACCTACTACGACGTACTCAGCAGCTGCTTCCGCGGATGCTGCCGTTTTAACCATCAACTGCTCCGGCCGTGATAGGCCTGACAACTCTACAAGTAAGTTTGCTCTCATCGAGACTGCGGGCAGAGGGTCATCTTTCGGGACGGCATCTAGGCTGGCATCATGTTGGCTGGGCCGGTGAGAAAAGACCTAGCGTCATGAGCGGGTTTCGCAGCTTCTCTTCGCATGTTTGACCATGTTTGACTGTTGCTGCATGATTCTCGCACGGATGCGGAAGGCCCAGTCAGGAGAACCAGACGGCGATGCGTCGTAAATGCACTTCCTGGTTTTGGTCTCAAAGCGGGTGCTGCGGGGTTGCCTGCACGCAAACAATGACCTCCAAAGCCTGCTCCAGATTTTGACGGTACGGGTTCGGCTTTGTAAGTGCTTCGCCAATGGACCTGCAGGGGCACGGTAATCTGACCACCACCTGAACCATGCAGTTAAAACGAGGTCAGTTCCCCTGAACTGGTAGGCCGTAGGCAATCGTCGACGATTTTACTACCAGTTATGAGGAGTTGATGAGTCGTGCTGCTTTGGAGGTCTCGTGGAGATTAAGACCGGATTCTACATCATGGAAGACACGGTCATCACATGCCT